TATAGTTAATAGTACTGTATTGTATACTTGGGAGTTGCTAAGATAGTAGTTCTTAAAAGTTCTCATCACAAGAAAAAAAAACTGTTAACTATGTGTGGTGATGGATGTTAACTATCCTTTCACAACATATACATGTATCAAACCATTATGTTGTACACCTGGAACTTATATAATGTTATATGTCAATTACAGCTCAATTAAAAACATATATGTTGTTTTTAACCCACTAAATTTTTGGTGATTGGTTATGGCAGCTAAAAGAAAGGACAGATTATGTAGTTCTAGATTCTGGTACTGGGAAATGGGGTGCTGCTGCAATAAATACTTTAAAATCTGGGAATGGCTTTAGAATTGGGAAGTGGGGAGAGGCTGAAAGAATTCTGAGAAGCATGTTTCTAAAATGTCTAGGTTACATTGCCTTAAACAGAGTATAGGTAGAAATATGGATGTTAATGACTCAGCTAGTGAGAACTCAGAAGAAAGTTAGGAGAAGAGTAGGAAAAAAACCTATCATCTTAGAGAATACTGAAATCATCATAAACCGATTGTTGGTAGAAATATGCACATCAAAAGTGCTGCTGGTGAGGGCTCAGAAGGAAATGAGGAACATGTTATTAGAGCTTGGAGAAAAGGGGATCCTTGTTATGTAAGAGCAGAAAGTTTAGCTGAATTGTGTCTTGCAGTTATGTGGAGAACAGAACTTGTAAATGATAAACTTGGATAGTTAGCTGAAGAGATTTCTAAGCAAACTGTTGAAGTTGTGGCCTGGTTTCTTCTTGCTGATAACAGTAAAATATGAGTTGAAAAGAGAGACTGAGGGAAAAGCTGTTTAGCAAAAAGGAACCAGGACCTGATGATCTGGGAATTTCTCAGCCTATTCAGATTGCAAAAGAGGTGAAAAATTAGGAGATTTGCTGTCAAAAAAGCATGCTCTGGAAAGAAGGCTAAGGATGTAGCTGACATGCTTTTCCTAACACTGCAGAAGGATGAAAAGGTCAAAA